GGTGTTTTTTTTTTGTTCACTTAAGATGATTTCTTATCACCTATAATTGTATTTCTTTCTTTTTCCCTAATAAATTTTCTTTTTTGTTTTATCTTAAAACAAACTCAAAAAGAATCATAACCAATAAACATCACATTTATTTCTCTAAATTAGAACCTATCACACTATTGTGCAATTTGAATTCATCAAGTGAAGTAACCTATCATTCTAATAGAGGCTTGTTATCTCACAAGTCACAACTTAAAATTAAATGCTCATAGTTCATCCTTCTAGAAAATTCTAGTGATGATATTTTATTGTTGGTAGTTCACTCTTAAAATTAACCCTTATTACTATCTTAGTAAATTATTATCAAGATGATAGTCAAGGCTTATACAACCAATATGGAAATGGTGAATGCACAATTATCAACACCCTTACGTTATTCATGGGACCATTATCATGCAATATAAAGGCCAACTTATGGTATAATTTCTTTACTAATTAATTTAACAACTTGTATTTTGGTAAATTTTTACTAGATTAACAATTATGATAATTAATGCCAATATGGGAGGGCTAAGCATATAATAACCAATACTATCATCTCATTGTTGATAAAGCCATCATTATGCAAAATCAATGCAATTGAGGATGTCTTGTCCTTGCCAATCAATTTACCTAACAATTTTAGATCCATCTTGGTAAATGTTTATTAAAATGGTAGTTAAAGCATATAAGTCTAATACAAAAAGGGTGAGCACACAATAACCGCAACTATTATGCCATGTCCATCATGATGCGTAAACACACAATAACTGCAACTATTCATGGGACCGTCATGCAATAGAAAGGCAAACTTAGGGTGTCATTTATTTTTCTAGTCAATTTAACAAAAAACCCAAACTTATCTTGGTAAAGTTTTACTATATTGACAATATGGTAAAGTTTTACTATATTATCTCATTGTTAATAGATCATCACTATGCAACATTACAACAATTGATAGTGTCATGTCCTTGCCAATTAATTTACTTAAAATTCAAACCCAACTTGGTAAATGTTTATTAGGATGGCAGTTAAAGCATATAAGGCTAATATGGTAGTTAGGGCAAATATGGCCAAAACGGGATGGGTAAGAGTGATTAAAGTAAAAACAACGTTGTTATGTGCTATCCATATATGATAAAACATCCATGATGGTTGCCATAAATTCTTACTCTTTAAGTTAGCACCTTAATCTATCTTGGTAAATTTTTGTTGAGGTGGTAATTAGGGCATGTAAGGTAACGAAAAAAAGGGTAAACATGCTATAACTAATGATATAATGTCCTTACCAATCAGTTTAATCAACTACCCCTTTTAAGAAGATTTGTACCAAACTGGGATTTTCTACAATCAATTCTATTGTAGGAGAATGATTACAGCCTATCTTAAACATAAATACCTCATATATATCTTTGTGGTGTTTTACTAACTTAGTAGTTTTGGCATATATGATCAATATGGTACACTAGATCTATTATAAAGGATTATCTAATGCACATTCAATAAGCATGAATTAGCATAAAACCTAACTTAAGCAATATTTTTTGTATGTAAAAACGCAAAGAAAACCAAAATATGAAATTATTTGAAGGGAGTTTTTCATTAACTAAAACAAATTGAACTTTCATGCAAAAAAAAAAAAAGGCAAATACCTATTAATCCCACAAGCATTCAACTACAAAGTTCTAACACCTTAGTTAGGGTTGGCTTCAATGTATTGGAGAAACCCAACTTCGATGAACAAGTTGAACAAAATGGTAGTGCAACAAGTTGAAGAATGAGAATGCTATAGTGAGGGAACATAGAGTGACCTCACGATAGAAGAACGTAGAGAGAGAGAGATAGAGATTCAAAATAAGCTTATGGTTATTCATTTAGAGGTTATTTAGGTCTTTTTCAATTGTAAGGTATTTTGGAAATGTTGCAAAAAAATGACATGGAAAATCATGTTGTCTTCCAAGTCATCAACATAGATAAGTTGCTTCACATGGTAGGGGAATCTATTTATTAAATATTTCTATTAAAGTTATTTGGGCTTTTGAAATCTACTAATAGAGTTGGATTGGGATTCAAAAATTTGAATATGCCTCGTGAGTACATGGTAATTGTTATGATTTATGTGGTGTTTAGTAGCATTGAATCAACTTTCGAATACCAAAATTTTTGCTTTTTAGTGCTTCAGGGTCGTTTGGCAATACCTCTGAACTCAACATTTGGAATCTAAAAACTCATTTGAATCATTCAGTGGGTTTGCTACCTCCAAATGTGCTTAGAGGTAGTGCATGATATTTTTTTCTCGAAAATACCCATTTATATTTTCTTTCTCCTCTTCTTCTTCTACCCCTCTTCCCTCTTTACTCTGTTCCTCCCTTCATTGTCTTCTTTTGTAGCAGGGATCATTGATTGCCCTCTATAACAACCTAATAGGGATCACTGGCTGTTTTTCCATTTCTTCTTCTTCTTCTTCACTTGTGGTGAACAAAGGAGCGGTGTAATAGGATTGCCATTTGTCCTCTGTAACAACCTAATATGGACCCCCACCGTTCACCCATATCTTCTTCTTCTTCTTCTTCTTCTTCTTCACTGTAGTGAACAATTGATTGACGAAAATAGGGGAGGGAGAACGAGAAAGAGGGAAAGCAAATGGAGAGAAGGGAAGATGGGGAGGAGCAGTGGCGCTGTTCTTACTGTTGTTGCTCGTGAAGCATGGTAGGTGTGCCCCTATGAAAACAAAATCAAAACAGTTTTTTAGAGAATTTCTCTCATATCTTTAACAATTTGTTTGGTTGCTGCGACGTGGATGAGAAATATGGAATATTCGGGTTAGATTCTTTGAAACCCGTGTTTGTTTGATGAAATGGTGCGAGAAATGATGGGATATCACATCTCAAAAACTGGGATGCAGGAGAAAAGAAAAACTTGCGACTCAACACCCTGTGACAACCACCGCAACACCAAACTGAACATGCCTCTAAACATCAAATGGTTGCCTAACCATCGGGAACAACACCAAACTGAACTCCCAGCGGCCACTGTGACTCACCCAGCATTTCAATTGATGGTTAGGTTTTCGACCCCCAAATGCTTCTTGTCAAATACCATTCTGATGCCAAAACCAACGGTCATGAATGCCATTAACCAATTTCCGACCCCCAAACTGATCATCCTCGCATTAGCTCCATATCAAAAGCAAAGAAAACTAACGAAGTAATAGGCAGAAACCCATAGGAGATCAGAACCTGTAGCATATAGAGAGAATGGGTGGGGAGATCAATAACTTCATAAAGGTATGGATCTCAGTTTTTCTAGGCGTTCTTCATTTACTAATGAGGGGGAGATTGGAACTCACCTCGTCCACGCCACTGGTTTAAGTTCGAAGGAAGATGATGAACAATAATTTTCCCTTATCAACAATCAAACACCAGAATGCCAAAATGAGAAAATAAAATTTCCTTTCTCATCCTATCCTTTTCCCATCCCATCCCTTCTCATCCCATCCCTTCTCAACAACCAAATGAACTTTAAGTGTACCCCTTTCAAAAATTAATAAAAAAAAATGATAGATCTCTTAACCCCTGTTTTCCTTCATCGTTGATTGTCTAAACCCCATTTAATATTTTATTATGATGTTTAATTATTTTATTAAAATAGTTGTAATATTTAAATTATCCTTAATAGTATTAGTATATTTAATATTTTTTTATTTATTGGTTAAGAATTTGTTTGATATTTTATGATTTTAAAATAATAAAGGCAAATTTTCTATCTTACATTATTTTTATTAGTATTATTGTATTATTAAAATTATTATATTTTATATTATTTGTAATAATATTATTTATTAATTTTTATTATTTTTATAATATTAATTTTTATTACTCTTTTATTGTGCATTTTAATCATTTTTATTTAAATAACAACTTTGAAGGGTAAATTTGTAAAGTATATAGTTTTCAGACACTAACATTACCATTTGTTTGGTTGGTGCAACTGAGAAGAGAAAATGAGAATATTCTCTTTAGATTCCCATTTTCATTCGTTTGTTTTGTGAAACGGACTGAGAAATAGTGAGACACGTTTTCCCAAAACTTGGAACGTGAGGTCACACTAAAACGGTGTGACCTTAGTGAGAAAGGAAACCACATGCAAAATTTGTCAGTTCGTTGTAAAAGAACTAAAATAGTAGTGGCGTTTGTCAGTTCGTCGTTAGCACGGTTTCTTACTGTTCCTTCCCTAACTTGGAACCATATTACATGTTCCTTCCCTAACTTAGAACGCGTCGTCGGATCGTTGTCAGTTTGTCGTTAGCACTGAAATAGTAGCGGTGTCGTCAGATTGTTGTCGACATCAGAGGTCTAGTGGAGGCGCATTGAAGTGGCCGCATCGAAATAGTAGCGTCGTCGTCAGATTGTCGTTAGCTTGTCGACAATGTCAGAGGTCCGATGGAGGTGCACTCAAAATGGTCGCTTGCCTCTAGTTCAAGTAGCAGACCAGAGGCAAGCAAAGAAAAAGATGAAGAAGAAGAGGGGAAAAAAAAAGAAAGAGGGCGAGGAGGGAAAAGAGGAGAGATATCTTGATCGATTGAAAAATCTCCTTGAGAAATCGACTTCTTTCATGGCCTTCATTGCTATTCTTGCCGAAAAAACCACCATTGCTGTGTTGCAGAGATATAAGCGGACCATATCTCAAAACGCTGGCGCAGCCTACGATGAAGAAATGAAATAGTTGTAAATTTCCCTTCTCATCAATCAAACACTGGAATGCCAAAATGAGAAAATAAAATTTTTCTTCTCATCCCATCCCATCGCTTCTCACCAACCAAACGGAATGTTAGATTGCAAATTACCGAATTACTCGCAAAAGTAGAGAAGTAAATTTTATTTTACTCGCAAAAGTAGAGAAGTAAATTACCGAATTACTCGCAAAAGTATCGAACGCCATCTTACTTATTTTGTAAGGATTTTGATTAAAGTCGGGGCTTATTACTATTTGCAAATTACAATGCAGGCCTCCCTTTTTGCCGCGAGGAGGGCTTGTTTCCAAACCATCGCCACTCGCCAGTGACACTGCCACCCCCTGCCGCCACAGCTGGTTGAGAAGAACGTGAGAAGTAAGGCAAGAAGGCTATAGAAGAGGTATCCTTTGGCTTTTTGGTTCGTAATAAAACCCTAACTCCCTAATCTTTGCGTCTTTGTTGGCGTTAGATTGATCTTTAAGGTCGCAGGAGAGAAACATTCACGTCTCTGGTTCTTCAGGCCGCCATTGTGAGAACTTGGAATAGTCACCACCCATCAAACGGCACGTCGTTCAATATTAGCCGCCTGTAATATGTACTGTAGTCAGGTATGAAATATCAAAAATTTCTTCTTCTTCTTCGTTATGATTTCCTTTATGTTCTGTTTGAGGGGAAGAAAATATACAGTCCACTGTTTCAAAATTTTCATGACTCATTGAGTTCATTGATTTATTCTACAAAACACAAACAATTTGTGTTCTTGGTCTCCTACGTTGAATCATCTTAAGCCTATCTACTAAGCGTAATGTTTGGAAAACAGGCCAAAGCATTGAACCCTAAAGTGCATCAGTCACCCTTCAGCTTTAAGGCTATGTTTGGTTTGATAGAAACTAAGAGATAAACAGAAAGTTGAGGTAAAGTTCTTTGTTTCTCTTATTTTCTATCAAACCAAAGACAGCCTAAAGGTTTCGGTGTTCATTTATTTATTTATTAATTTTTTGATACAGAATTTGACAACGTGTTAAAAAAAAATCGGCGCAAATTGCAGCTCTGCTACAACCATCGTATAGTCTGAAGGAGAACAACAACGAATCATTATATAATAATCAAAGAATGCTAGTAGCTCGAAAGCTGTTTCCTTCTAAACTTGTAACCCGTTTTCTTCCACTCGCTTTTGCTGCTTCATACTACCCACCCTCGTGCCACCACTCCCTTTTTGGTTTTGATACAACAACAACAACAACAAGCCCCTTTTATTCTCCAAGTAACCTTCTCTTTACGATACATAGATCTTTCTCTTCAGAAAGCAAACCGTTTCCGAAGTCCTTAAGAGATGGAAATTACGATGAAATCACCTCTCCCCATCTCCTTGTTTGCCCTGGTTGTGGTGTTTACATGCAAGGCGATGATCCCAAGCTCCCAGGCTACTTCATTAAACCCTCCAGGAAAGACACTGATTATCATTCCCCCATTGATCGTCAACCTGTTGCTGAAGAATCAGAAATCTCGGATTCCCTCAAGAGGGGATTTCTCAGTGAACTCATCAACCCTGAATACCCTACCACTGATCTTAATTTAGTTGGGAAACCAGTGGTTTGTGCTCGATGCCATTCCTTACGCCATTATGGGAGAGTAAAAGATGCTAGTGTTGAGAATTTGCTCCCAGATTTTGATTTTGACTACACTATTGGTAGAAAACTGGTTACGACCATGGGGACTCGTTCAGTTGTTATGATGGTGGTTGATGCTGCAGATTTTGATGGTTCATTCCCTCGGAAAGTTGCAAAGCTGGTTTCAGCAACCATTGAGGAAAACTCTGCCGCTTGGAAGCAGGGGAAGTCGGGAAATGTTCCTCGAGTTGTACTTGTGATTACAAAGATTGATCTCCTTCCACCGTCTTTATCTCCAACCAGATTAGAGCACTGGATTCGACAGCGAGCTCGGGAGGGGGGAGCAAATAAGCTGACCAGTGTTCACCTTGTTAGCTCATTGAAGAACTGGGGGCTGAAGAATCTGGCTGATGATGTGTGCAGATTGGCTGGGCCAAGAGGGAATATTTGGGCAATTGGGGCTCAGAATGCAGGGAAATCAACCTTGATTAATTCTTTAGGGAAGCACATTGGGGGTAACATTACTCACTTAACTGAAGCTCCAGTGCCTGGAACTACTTTGGGGATCATTAGGGTTGAGGGTGTCCTTCCTGGGATGGCGAAATTGTTTGATACACCTGGGCTTCTGCATCCACACCAGATCTTGACAAGGTTGACCAGAGAAGAGCAAAAACTGGTGCATATAAGCAAGGAATTGAAGCCAAGGACATACAGGATCAAGGTTAGTATGCTCAACTATTTACTGAGGATAAGAAATTATGCATATAATTTGCCCTTTTGTTAGTGGGGTATTGCCCATTGCATAGCACATTGATAAAATCTTATTCAGAGACACATGATGCTTCTGTAATTTCTAAATTTAGTATAGTTTAAGGATGATAGATGTCTTACTCTGCTTTGTCATTTGGCTTAATCACTTTATCTACTCAAGTCTAAGGTGGTAGTGGAGTGGAGCTATTAGTGCTTTGTTGATTTTCTTTTCCCATTTTCTGTCTTGTCTTTTGTTTTTTCTTTCTTTTCCTATTATTGCTTCAAACCTTATTATATTCTTGGCTTCTTAATTTTGGTGCTTTCTTCTTTGGGTTAGCTTAAGAAGTACCTTTCATTATCTTCCTCTAGGAAAGGGCTCATTATAGGGTGATTTTTAGATTGCCAGCTGGAGGAATAAAGCAAAGAACATCATTTAATTGGGGGAAAACAATAACTTTATTTGCAATTTTATGGCTTAGAGGGAAGCTTTTTCGGAGTAATAAATCTGGTGCAATAATGTTTATAGGAGAGTGGGAGAGGATTTCTGCATAAGATTTTGTCATTATTTGTCAAATGCATGGTTTTAAAAGGCTTTGAGGTGTGTGCCTTTGATCTTGAGGCTTAATTTCTAGGCTCATGCCTCAATTAGTTGGCCTTAGAAAAATAGATAAACCATTAGATTAGAATCATTAATAATTCACAACACTTTTGGAGGTTTAGTGGCTTGATGCTTGCTTGAGATAAATAGAAAAGTAAGATCAAGAGTGGAGGAGAAGAGAGTTGATAACGTTCAAAAGTTCATAGCAGAAAGTCAACCGGRCAACTAAAAATATAAGCAGACTTCACTTGGTCAAAATACTCTTGGTTTGACCAACTATATACCCCTAGATTTTGAGTACTTTTTGTGAAACTCTTGCGCATATCGAACAAGGAGCCTGCAAACCATTACATCAGCATCATCATTGTTATCTAAACCTTATTCCCAAACAATGGCGGAACTAGGCATTCCCGAGGAAGGGGCTGCGATGGTGAGAGTGCAGGGAGGTCTGCTTAACGTCTTTGTGGAGGAAAATGGGGTCTGAGAATGTGAGAGTTTTCTTCGAAGATGTCTGGTTCCTCGTTTTTCTGGTGGCATCCCTTCAAGCGAAGAGGTCGAAACCTGGTCTGCCTTGTGATGGAGGAATCTGCAAAAGCCGGTGGTGAGAAGGATGGAAGGGAATAAGTGGCTCATCATCTTTGTGCCGGAGGAAGAAGCTAATGGGTCCCTCATGTCTGGCTTGTCCTCGTTAAATGGCCTGCAACTTCTTTTGGAGGTTTAGTGGCTTGATGCTTGCTTGAGATAAATAGAAAAGTAAGATCAAGAGTGGAGGAGAAGAGAGTTGATAACGTTCAAAAGTTCATAGCAGAAAGTCAACCGGRCAACTAAAAATATAAGCAGACTTCACTTGGTCAAAATACTCTTGGTTTGACCAACTATATACCCCTAGATTTTGAGTACTTTTTGTGAAACTCTTGCGCATATCGAACAAGGAGCCTGCAAACCATTACATCAGCATCATCATTGTTATCTAAACCTTATTCCCAAACAATGGCGGAACTAGGCATTCCCGAGGAAGGGGCTGCGATGGTGAGAGTGTAGGGAGGTCTGCTTAAGGTCTTCATGGAGGAAAACGGGGTCTGAGAATGTGAGAGTTTTCTTCGAAGATGTCTGGTTCCTCGTTTTTCTGGTGGCATCCCTTCAAGCGAAGAGGTCAAAACCTGGTCTGCCTTGTGATGGAGGAATCTACAAAAGCCGATGGTGAGAAGGATGGAAGGGAATAAGTGGCTCATCATCTTTGCGCCGGAGGAAGAAGCTAACGGGTCCCTCATGTTTGGCTTGTCCTCGTTAAATGGCCTGCAAGTCTCACTATCACATTGGTCCCCTCTAGGTTGCTCAGAGGGGCTTGCGAAAGGCTTCAGGAAATGGTGGATTAGAATCTTTGGCGTGCCCCTATCATCCTAGAGCCCTGCGGTGTTCAAGGAGATTGGAAATGCGATCGGAGGCTTTGTCGTAGTAGATCCAAGAAACATGGCGTGGAGAAACCTTGAAGCCCTACGTCTTCTGGCCTATAGTGGGTTAGTGAAAGATATCCCTAAATCCTTAGAGCTGGTGGTGGGAGGCGTGAGATACCTCCTACTGATCGCGGTAGAGGACTTTGAATCTCAGCTCGATCGAAGAAATGTAGGTGTTGCTGCTCAATACCCATATTACAAGGCTGGATCTTATTCGTCTAAGCCTTGTGGTGCTCTGCTTTCTGGTGGTGGGCTTGGTGGCTTTCCCGTTTCTTTTACTCCGGTAAAACACCGTAGAAGAAAAAGAAAGAAGACGAGGAGGAAGGTGTCGCAGGTGAAGGAAAGGGGAGAGGATTTGTAGAGGGTCTTGGTGAAAGAGGTGGGGCGGAAAGATTGGTGTTCTCAGTCCCAGGAACCGGTGGGATGGGAGCACTTGGGTCTCTCTTTGTTTTCGTCAGATTTTGGTCGGGAAGTCGTATAGGTGGGTGCTAATCTGCCGGAGCCGGTGTTTGCAGTGGCCTCCCCTATTCTCAATAAGCTATCAAGGGTGGGAGATTTTTTTTCTTTCAAAAATTAAATTATTTCACTACCCGGGGCTTTTTCAATTTTGATTTTAGTTCCTCCCCTTGTGGAGGTCCGGCCCGACCTATTTGGGTGCACCCGATTTCGTGGTGTGCCCCACTTAGTAACCTTGAGCTAGGGTTGGATTTGAGCCGAATACTTGGCTATTCGAGCTCGGCTCTTAGGAATAGTTATCACGCTCGAGCTCGATTCGAGCTAGAGACTTGAGCTCGAGCTTGATTTGAGCTAGAGACTTGAGCTCGAGCTCAACTCGGTTCATAGCTCGCAAGTTCGAGCTCGGCTTGGCTCAAGCTCGACTATAAGCCAAGATTTTTTTTGAAAACTAAAAATTATATGTATAAAATTATTTTTTTTTTATTTTTCAGGCAAAAAATTACGAATTATAAAAATTATTTAATATTATATATACAAAAAATAGTTATAAAAGTTATTTACTATTATACATAAAAATAAAATTATTATATTAATAAAAATATTATTATATATAATAATAAAAATGATTTATTATATATAATAGTAAAAATTATTTATTTAATACTAGGCTCACGAGCCTTACAAGCCAAGCTTCACTAGGCTCGAGCTCGGCTCGATTAGCAAATGAGCCTATATATTGGGCTCGAATTTGGCTCAAAGCTCGGTTTAATTTGAGCCAAGTTGAGCTCAAATAGCTCGTGAAAGGCTCGGCTCGTGGCCACCCCTACCTCGAACTGGGCTTGGGCCCGCAAAACCCTATTAAGAACCAAGTCCTGCTGAATATACCAATAGTATGGTTCCTTTGAACTTCCATTTGACAATGTTTTGCTCCCCTGAAAGGTACTTCTTTTGGTGTCTCTCCGAATTTCGTTGGACCCTCTAGCGAGCTTAGGGGTGAATCTCTTGGTTTTCAGCCTGGGGGTGAATATATTGGTGTGGGTGAGCTAAGCCCGGTTGGTGAGGAGGTGAGGGGTTCACCCTACGAGTTGTATGAGGAGGGTGTTCACTGTTCAGGGTAGCTATGCAAATCAAGTAGAAAAGGCTCTTAGCATCGGAAAGCTCCTTGGAGTCTCTTGGCTGGCGGAGCAAGAATTGTTTGTGCAATATTGGTTGCATGCTAAGTTTTCCAATGAAGCCAAATTAGTTAGTTCGCTGGATGCTCCTGGTACTGTGTCGGACTTTGATTTCAAGACTGACCCCTCTTAGTCTGACTGCTCTTCTATTACGATGGGTTTCCCCTATGGAAGCAGGAAATCCAAACGCCTAGCTGATTGTTATGATGTAAAAGTGGTGGACCCTCCATCCTGTGGAGTTCGGGACTCTAGAGGAAGGGGTAGAAGAGGCAAAGGCAGGAATGTTGTGGCCAAGTAGGGCAATCTTCTATTCTTAGCTGCTGTGAGTTGTTGTCAGGGAGGTTGTGTCTCAGCTTTTGGAAGGAGGTTTGGTGGTCAATGTTTTCGATTTCTCTTGGCTTTAGTTGTCCGGTGACCGGATGACTTTTGCTTTTATTTTGCCTTCTGTGTACTTCTTGTACACCTTTTATTATTAATAAATTTCCTACCTTAGATTTGTTCTAAATTGAACATGTTTTTGTTTTGGTGGATTAGGAGCAAATGTGGGAGAACCTAACCTCTTGAGCCTTACTTAGAGTTACTTTTGATCATTGTCCTATTTGCCTAATACAGGGAACTACCTATGGAGGTCCCTCGCCTTTTAGCTTTGAAAACATGTGGTTGGAGGACTCTACCTTTGTGAAGAAGGTTAAATCTTGGTGGCAAGAAGTACTGAAGTAGGTTGTAGGGGTTTGAAGACAGGTGTCAACTTCTCGAGGAATTTAAAGAGATTAAAGGAGAAAATAAAAGCCTGGTGTAAAGATCTTTTTGGAAAGGTGGAGTCAAAGGAGAGAATTTCTTCAAGGGTTGTAGAATTGGATAAAAAAGAGGCACTTAGAGAACTTAGTGGGGAGGAAAAAAAGGAAAGGTGGACGCTCAAGTGTGAGTCGGAAGAAGTGCTAAGAAAGGAGGAGATTTCGTGGAAAAAAAATCTAGGTGCACTTGGCTTCTAGAGGGAGATGGTAACATGATTTTTTTCATTCTTTAGCAAGTGGTAGAAGAAGGAAGAACCCAACTACCGGGTTAGAAGTGGATGGCTAAGAGGTAACCAGGGAGGAGGATATCATTAAGGCTTTGGTGACCATTTTAAAGGGACTTTTATGAATTCAGGAGAGAGGAGCTTGACCTTTCTAGATCTTGAGTGGGATAGAGTGCCCAAAGCCTCATCAACAGCTTCAGAGAATGTCTTTATCCTTGAGGAAATTAGAGAGGTAACGTTTTCAATGAGTTCTATCAAAATGGGGAATTTTCT